AGTGAAAAGTGTAAAAAAAAAAAAAATAGTGAAAAGTGTAAAGAAAAAAAAGTGTAAAAAAAATAAAAAAGGACAAATAAATTAATGTATTTTTTGCATTTTTTGTTTAGCTGTGCTGGTTTTGTAAAAAAATACTACAAATCAAAACTGGGAAAAAAGTGTTTTTTAAAAACGTTTTTTCCTCTTTTTTTATATTTTATTTGTCCTAAGTGAGGCGTTAGACACACATATGTGATATAAATATATAGCCCTATCTGTCCTCTTAAAAACAATATATGATATGTGTGGGTGCACTTTGTAAGAAAGTATATTAATGACGTGGAAGAATCACACAGCAAAAATGTCAAAAGTGTGTCAGTCATTTACGAACAGAAACTAAAAACAAGCTCAGTCATGAAGGGGTTAATATTTAATAAATCTAGCTCCACTATAACGCACTATTCCACAATGCTTTTAAGAGTACAAAAAATTATTTAAATTAATCTTTGTCACATTTTAACATCCGCATTACTGTCACACACTATTCTTATACAATTATATAGTTATGACTATTTATACAGTGTTTATGAAGTGCATACAATTCACATTCCTGTACAGCCTTTAATACATTGGTTTACTAAAGGAGTTTTGAATACACAAACAAGTGAAGATTCACTTTAATTATACAATCATGTGCAAAGGAAATAAAAAATAATTTGTTTTTAATTTCTTTGTCCCAACGATGAGCAAAAATGTGAAGGTGATCGATATTGAGCACTTCCAGGATCATTCACCGCTAAAAGGAAAGCAGTGAACATGAGAACAGCAAGACAAACAGAATGCTGTAGGTGAGGTAGCTATGGGGTGGTGCCCCTGTTTGAAGTTGGTAGAGATGATCAGGTGGCCAGTTCACATCTACAGTCAGTAGCCACAGATGACAATAAAATCAATGTTAGCATCCCTTTCCTTACCTTGATATGTACTGGCCATCTGAGGTAGGGTACAACAATGTATTTATGATTGTTCAGATGTTAACACCTACAAGATCCATGTAAGTAAAGCTCAAATAAGCTGGCAAGTATTTGGTCAAATGTGGTTACCCTTAGGCCTGGTTCACATTTTGTGTACTTCAGTAATGAGTAACTGGGAATACTTAAGTAACAAGTATAGTGATAATTATATAGTGAGCTACATATGTCTAAGGCCCCGTTCACATTGAGCGATTTATCGCGCGATTTTTGTAGCGATATCGCTCATATTTCCGCACTATATCGCTCTATGTAGCTTCACCAATACATTTCAATGTAGCTGTTCACATCTCGTCGCTCAATGTCGCTCAATATCGCTTGTAGCTCGTCGCTGGTAGCTTGTCGCTTCTACATGACCCTTTTTTAGAGCGATTTTGAGCGATATTGCTCCTGATTGCATACAGCCCAATAGGAAGATGTCACGTGATGTCGCGCGACACGTCGCTCAATGTCGCTCAATGCCGCTCAAAGTCGCGCGATTTGCATGTCGCTCAGTGTGAATGGGGTCTTAAAGCCGCTGTACAATCCTTTAAAAATAAATTGATAGTTTAGATTTTTTTGGTTTATATTTTCTTGTTTATTAAATTTCTTAATTTTTACATTAAGCAGCTAAAAAAACACACATTTAACTAAAAAAAAAAAGGTAAATATCAAATATCGTTTATGAATCGTTTCTATCTACTATGCAGAGCAGATGGAGCTCTTTGCTGCATTCCCTTTCCTTACCAGGCAGATTTTACAAACTGTGTTGTAAACAGACCTCAATAGCAGAAGCTCAAATTACAGATAAGTCAGTGGGGGTAATTCCTCCACCGTTCTGCTTCACATATATGGACCCTTCTAAATTTTCTGGTAGATTGAGACAGTCAGAAATTATGCAACCAGTGTTGGACTTACATCATTGAAAGGCTACAATGTTCTCGGACACCAACACCACAGGTCCATCCTGTATTAGAGGTTTATTTGCACAATACAAATTGTGTACAAATAATAAAAGTTTATATAAAAACCAATTCATCAATTTGCAAGCTTAAAAATATGTAAATAAAACTAGTCAACAACCACAAGTGAAATGTTTGAACTTTGAACGTGTGGCCTGACAGACAGATGAAACATCTTTCTTCAAATCTACTAAAAGTTATGAGCAGTTTGGCTTAATACTGAGCATGGTGCTATCTTGCATTGCTTCAATCCTCGTATTTCCAACAAAGACACTATTTACATATAGTATGTATATTTCCCTTATGTTTATGTGGGTTTCCTCCCACAGTCCAAAAACATACCATTGGCTTCACTGGATTACACCCAAACAGATCCAAGTACATGTAAGGGATATTAGACAGTAATCTCAATTAAGGGGGTCAGGAAAAGAAAAAACTTGAATTCTTTCTGTAAAGCACTGGAAGATGCAAAAAATATTTTTTGTACAGTAGAGGGTTAATTTTACAACTAGTACCAGCTATACTCTATGCAGCTTTCAGTATCTGAAACATGTTGTTGTCACTTCCCTAAGTGGTATGATTTAATCAAAATAAGTGCACTGAAGTAATAAAAATCAGTATCTTGCTTCCAGAGTACATTTCCTGCATGCCGAAAATGTATATTTGCCTATTATACAACTATTTAAAAAAAATTACAATATATGGCTCGCCACCACCAGAAGTCCTTTCTGTAGAGATGAACTATAAATTTCGATAATGGTGGTACTTAGTTCCCCCACAAATCTCTCGTTCTTTCCTGGCTACCCTTCCCTTTGCTTCCAAGGTTGCCTTGCAGAAAGTTCTTTTTGACCAAAGGCCAAGCAATTCTGGATCTGAGTGTATTAGCTCCTTTGCACAGTGATGGAATTTCCTGTTGCGGATTCCTCCCCTACCCTTCTTCCCTTTTTACTTCTTTTCTCCTGCTTCTCTAAGTTCCCATCCATTCCTTAGTATCCTTCCCAACCCTATCCCTTTACCCTGAGCTTTCTTCTCCTGACCTTCTCTCTTTCCTCCAATCACTCCTGCTCTCCTCTTCACTCTCTTTTCTGGTCCTTTCTTTCTTGTTCATATCTTTCAATGTCCTCCCTGTCTTGCCCGTTGAGTTGAAGGGCACAGATGGGTTATCCTGTCCCTATTCTCAATAACATATTCACAAATACCTAACGGGACTTATTTGTCCTCACATTTAAACATTGTTGTTGACTTTGTGCTATGTTTTGATTGACCTTTCGCTTCTACGCTTGTTTTGTATTTAACACTGTTTCAAATATAGCAACTGTACAAATGCAACCATTTAATTTGTTTCCTAATAAAGATTTTTGAATGAAAATAATATGACAATATCTTCAAAAATATGCATTTCCTCTAGTTTTTCAGAGTGTTTTAGGCATGAACATATAAACATACAGTATTTGGTGGGATTGTTAGGTACTCTTCTTTCTGGACGGAGCTGGAGAGGTTCCTATTAGTTCTCTTTGGATGTGGTATACAGTTGACCCCATGAGTGGCATTGCTTAACATATAGCCTTTTTAATTGCTCTATTTATAATAATAATAATAAAAAAACAAAAAAACACTATACTTTTTTGTTATGGCAGCAGCTAAATGGACTATTGCCAAACAATGGTGTAAACTAGATTTACCCATCACTATGGTCTATGCCAAGCTTTCTAATATCTATATAAATGAACAAATACTTAGTACACTGTTGGACACACTAGAAGTCTTTCAAATCTGACAACCCTGGGAGCAATTTCCCTAATGTGCATTCCCTTATCCTGCCATTGATGCATATGCATTGGCACGCAATTAGGCAAATTAGCTATTGTTGAAGAATTATTTATTAGAATTTTGGAGAAGACCGCTATAAATGCTGCTCTTATAATCTCATAATCCTGAGGTACATTTCTGTGGTATGTTTAGTACTCTGAATATGGCCATAATATGTTTTTTTTTTATTTACATAGCTTGCCATTTTTAATTTTAAAAAAAACACCACAAGATCTGTATTAAATTTCTAAAACTGGACCTATACGGAAAAGTGTGTACTATTACTCTAAATGTACCGCAATGCATTTTTGTCCTGTAATGAAGATGGTGAAACATATACATATGACATATGTAACTATTTTTTAAAGGACCAGATAAACCTGGAGTAAAAAAAAAAATATAGGGGATGAGAACAGGAACGTGTGAATTAAAAGTACCAATCACAGTTCAGTGTGCTTTATAATCAAGAACAGGTAGTTATTAGAATGTAGGCCATAAACCTATGTTAAGTGCAAATAGCCAAGTAAAAAAGACAAGCACACTGTTTGAGAACAATTTGTTACCAAAACCATTTGAAGGCTTCTCAGACATATTTATAATCATAACAACATCTATCCTCTAAACACAGCCTTTTCTAGTGCATCTTTCTCATTCATATACTCCAAGAACGATGGATAGTTTGTACAGTCATAGTGGCCACAAGTACGAACATATTTCAAAAAGTCTGGAGCCCCTGGACAAATGACGTTGTCTGCGAGGATGACAGAGCCCTTTCTAAGCAATCTGCATTTCTGTAGAGAACAAAAAAAAAATAGTTTAGAAATGGCACATAGAAATGTTTGCACGTGCCTTTGAAATGATCCAGGCTTAATATGCAAATTACTATAGAAAAGTAGTGAGCTCATCCTTCTACCACAGTGATCCAAAAGGTGTGGAAAGCACCAGGTAGGAATAAAGTGCAGAGCATTTACAGGGTTAGGATTTGCCTCCCTTGAGAGCTGCATTAGCAAAAGTCTACTTGTCTAAGACTTTATTTTCCAATTCAGAGGGGGAACATTGAAGCTGAACTTTTGTCTTTTTTCAATCTGAATATGTGGCTATGAAGCCTTTGGCTGTGTGAGGAGCAGGTGTTTTCTGATGTGTGAAACAATAATCTATCTCTTACTACTAGGCCATTTGGCCAAAATCAAGTGCTGTATGTGTTCTTATCAGTGTGCAGGAGGGAATATGTGCCACTGTTCTGTCCGTATGGTAAGAATGGCTGGCTGCAGAGTACCTTGCCTGATGGGGGGGATCAGGAGTACTTCCATAGTGTTCGGGATCTGAAGGGTCCCAGTTCCTCCTGATTAGAGCAGATCTACCTGGTCTGCCCATGGGCTGGGAGCACAGAGGCCCACGGTGCTGTCCCTCCCCTCCTTCTGGCTAGCTCAGAGCAATATTTTATCTAGGCTGGAATGGCCTGCAATGTTTTGCACTGGCACTTATTTATTTATTTTTATAACACTTTAGGCAGGACTGCACATTTTGTCCCCACAGAAGACAAAGGGTGTGGGTGCTTTCAGGGCCCACCCTGATGTTGGGGAGAGGTTCTTCGGCCTTCAGGTCTTTTTGCCTCTCCCCAATCGCAGATCTCTTTGGGAGAGCCCTCACCAAGTACTTGGTGGACCGGCTTTGGTTGGTCCCTAAAAGGGGGGGTCGACCAATATGGTTTTCAGAACCGATAGATTCCACAGCTGGCAGCTGAATATAAACAGAAGGCAGTGGGCAGTGCAATAGCCAGCCTGTTATTGCCTATTTCAAATTGGGATAGCCAATAGCAGGCTGGCTATTGCACCCGTCCACTTCCTGCTGTCAATTAGCAGAGGAGCGGACCTGAAGGAGAAAGTTCTCCTTCAAAGTCCTTTCCTTATTTCCTGTATGCGGGTGTATCTAGGCAACCTAGGGGGAGGGGTTTCACTTGACTGGGCATCATCTTTTTAAATATAATCCAATTGTTTCGGAATTCCATTGACCCTGTGTCCCTTAATCAACAATAAACAAAACAGGTTTTAAAGGCCTCAAATCAGCTGATAAGTAGAACCTAAACCCCCCCAATACAACCCTAAAATATATTTATCATACTCAAAGTAAAAATGCCTTTAAAATGGAACTCCAGCTTGCTCCCCAGCCAACAATCAACTTGGAGAACAAACACTAGAGCATGAAGAGGACTCTCGGTGTAGTGCAGCACCAGAGAGAAGGTGAGTATTGCAGTGAAAGCTTTATATTAAGAGAAATTACATTGTAGATAAGAGGAAAAATGGCATTAATAGGAATTATATCATTTTTGTCTGATCATGCAATCTTCCTGTAGCAATTATCAGACTATATGGATGTACACAATACAAACGCTACTACTGACCTCCAGAAGTTGGATATCTGGTAAATATTTTTCTTTCCAGTGATCCACAAAAACAAAATCCAAAGTGTCCACTTCATATTTCTTCTTCAGCTGGGGGATAATATCATGCGTGTTACCTTCCAATATCTGGACCTGGAAATCAATTGAAAACGTTATCAACACAAAATAGATACTAGTAAATTGCCTCCTAAAGGTATGCTGAATTTAAAAAATAAAAGTGATTACTAAAAAAAAAAAGATTTGCTTTATGGTTCCATGATTTCCCTCAATGCATCTCTATTACTATAACCTAATTCTATAACTTGCATTAACCTAACTGTGCCAAGATCTCATTCGCCATGGTTTACCCCAACATCTGAAGCAGAGATCTCAATGATCTAAAAGGCTGGCAGTTTAAAACAACTTGTAGTTAGGCAAGAAAAAAAGTCACTTAAAAGCTGAAGTCCAGGCAAATGGAAGAAAACACTATACAAAGGTTTACATCTCATAATCAATCTCAACAACAATATTTAATCTCATAAAGATACGGCTATGAAACTGTTACAATCTACTCATATTCATGGCCACACCAAGTTTCAGAGTGAAATATGGAGGGTTAACCCTGGGAGCCAGTCATACTTTTTAGTCTACTGCATATAAAATTCAATGTGGACTGTGTCACTTCAATGCCTAATAGTACCCTCAAGGATCTGTGTATATGAATTTAATCTTGTGACATTCAGCTGTTTAAATGGCATTCTTCCAAATGTCATGCAGTCCATGAACATGTCAAAATATGCTCATCCAGTCAGAGAGATATAAGAAACTCTCCAGGAGCTACCAAATGCTGAAATGGTGCTTTAGCAGTTAACAAGCACTGCCTAGCGAGGGCTGGGGTAAAATATACCTTGTCTTTAAATCCAGCAAATTCAATGATCTGTTTGGCTACAGCAGCATATGCGGGGTTAAACTCCACAGTGAGGAGGCGAATTCCAGGCTTTAAGAGTCGTGCTATTCGGACTGTTGAGTATCCACAGTATGTTCCCAGTTCCAGTACTATATTTGGGTTGGTCTCTTTCACTATTTTGTCCAGGATCAGGCCTGTACCAAATAAATAAAATATGATATGTAGAAATTGTTAAAAGCAAAGTGGTATACATTTATGAAGTACATCAGGGCAAGATTTACAAGGTGTGAAAACATTGGCAATGTAAAACATGGGTTCTCAGCTTTTGAATTCAAAGCTTCACTCTTTTCCAAAACTTTTTTTTTTCCAAATCTCATGCCATCTTCAACTGAACCATTGGTCCACATGAGGCATCAGCAAACGTAGCACTTCACACTGTCTCATCAAGATATTATATCTTAGTGATCACAGACTAAAATCACCAAGGTCTCCACGCTATGGCTAATATCATATTAAACCCATGAGTCACCATTATTTTGCCAAATGAGTGGCAGGTTTAATGAAGAACTCCAACCATTTTGGAAGGCCAAGATCAGTCTCCCCCACGCCCCAGCATCAGTTTGCACCTCATTCTTAAAACACTGTACTGTATGTGAAGGTTCCCATGTATGTGGAAAATATGTGCACAGAAAGGGAAGCATTGGGGTGTGTTATGAATGCACACTCACCCCTCCAGGGTTCCATGCAGCTTACCAATGGCCTGTACCATTTGAAGACTTTATTCTATCCCTGGAAAGGAGAGGCAATGTGCAGTGGGATGGATTGACACTGTCTCTCTTAGCCCATTAGTGGGTCTTTTCTGAGGGTAGAGTATGTTGGAGCACAGGCTCTCTCTATTGCTGTTAGCAACTGGAACATGTGCAGGGGGCTCGACCCTCATCACAGCAAGCTCGGAGGACTTCCCTAGTGACAGTTGTGGCAGGATTAAGCCTGTGAAGGAGGTTCATCCAGTTAGACTAGTGTGAATAATATAGGGTGGCAGGTCCTGGCAAGCTAGGTGACCATTAATATCAAGGCTGCATTTACATCACTAGGCACAGAACCTTTGGACCCAAAACACTGCTAGGACAACCTCTTTTACACAGGACTTTTTTTTCTTTACTGGTCCTAAACTGGCATACAAAAATGTGAAAATATGTAAACTAACTTAACTGCTTCAGGACGTTCTGTCCTGAAGTAGTTTTACCAAGAATCATTTTGGTATCATTTTAAACAGCTGGTGATGGCTGTTTAGATACAAGCGATCCGGATAGTTTGTAAGGTGAAGTGGAATGTGTGCCCCCCCCATCCGCCGCCAGAAAACAGAGGGAATGACGTCACTGGCGCATGCACATTTTATCTGTAATTTTCTACACACCGCCGTGCTGAGCTCTGAGAAGCGTCTATGCTGGGATGACAGCCTTTGGTAACATTGCAGGAAACGTATATTTTGATTATATTACAAATGTCATATATGCAGTCTGTACGCGTGTGTGCTTTCTCATCCATTCCTTGTGCCTGTATCAGACATGTGGGAAAAGCAGGCAATGCAGATGTGCAGTTTTAGTTCCCTTACCCCCCTCCTCTTTGAGTTATATGTGCAGGCATGGCCCTTACTGCCATACCTGGTTACAGGAAGCGACATACCCCAGGGCTGGACAATTGGTGACCAGGTCAGGTGGGTGCTGAAATGCCATTTGTGCTTTCCCCTATAGTAGACATTAGGCGTCACTAAGCGTGGAGGCAGTAAGAAAGAGAGGAGAGATCTCCGGATGCTCTGGCCTGGGTGGCCCTCTCTATGGTTGGGCCCAAGGTGCACTTTGTTATTGTGGAACAGGAGCAGGCAGTGGCTGTGAAGCCTAGAGCAGAACTGTGCAGAATGACACAAAGGGGGGCAGACTGCGGTGTGTCAGTGAGAAAGTGAGGCCAGCCATGCCCCAAGTTTTGCCGTTTGCGCTAAACTGAGAAACGCAGCCTGTGTGAGCTGGCCTGTACCAGGGATGGATGGGAGAAACAGAGTAAGTCCATGGACTGACACACTGCTGTCTTTTCCCATCAGTGCCAGTTCACAACTATTCACAACAACATTGCCATCATTTGTTCTGCCCTCTACAATGTATGAGGAGACACAAGGCATGATGGGAGGTTCCTTAAAGTTTTGTATAAGGGGGGCAGGTTGCATAGTGCTGGCTCCCAGGCTTTTAAAGGTGGCTACTAGTTCCTGCTGAGATGTGTCCAGGCCTGCCATGCTTCCTGCTAAGCTCAGAGGCTGCTAATGCTTCAGACAGGTGATGATTCTAGAGGGGGAGGCACTAAGGTTTGCTTATGGCCTGCATACGCACAGTGAAATCTTTGGTTAAAACCGAGGGGGCCACACCCAAAAGAGCTAAAGATTCCAAGTAATGTAGAACTTAAGTGGGGATAATGTTCCAGGCTGTTGGTGCCAGGCCCTTGAAAGGGAGCACTGCCGGCCACTCTGGGACTGTAAGTGGATTGTGAGCCAGAGTGAACCTACTGTATATAACAGGACTGTTTCCCGTGTGTTTAGAATCTGACATGTTGCAATAAAAGCAGAGGCAAATTAGCTCAGAATACAAGGTAAAATTTTGGGTACTCATGGATCACCTTCTAGAAGAGAGGTTCAAATGATCAGAGGTGACCAGGTCACAAGGATTAACCAAGGTGAAGCCGCATGTCTCTTGCAATTAAGAGCGGTGGCGGGAAAATGCTACCTCATGCTGAATGGCAGGGACAAGCGCACAGAGTGTGCCCATGCAACACTCCACCTAGTGACACAGCACTTGTCAGCATTTAAACCCTTTCCATTGAAAAACAATGGAAAATACAGATAATCTAATCTAATGAGTTAATCACAAAGCGAGTCTTTAGAAACTGGATCACACCAAAGGGGACAGTGCTCCGCGGCTAACACAGTACGCAAAGATATGGAATGCACTACAATGCCGAGTCCAATGCCCGAAAGTCACATCCCAAGTAGGCCCCACAATTGTCCACTCCAGCAGGGTCTGGTTACAGCTATTGCTGAGGATACACCGATCTGGATAACTGCAGTTTGAGCAGTGTATAGCGAAATCTTGAAGAAAAAAATAATAATCTTGAACAAAGGAAAAATGGCCAGTATAAACTTTTCTCAGTAAAGCAAAAGCATCCATCCTCCAAGAAATCTAGGCCAAAATAGCTGAACTGGAAAGTGAACTGAATTATAGAATGTTTCCAAATCAGCTATTTTGGCCTAGATTGTTCCTCTCCTGCTGCCTTCTCCGAACTCTTCACTAGGGTTACTACCAAAACCCGAACACTCTAGCACTGCACAGCATGTTTTTTTTGGAGAAAATACGAGAGAGAGAGCCAGGAGAGAGAGAGAGCGCCAGGAGAGAGAGAGTGCCAGGAGAGAGAGAGCGCCAGGAGAGAGAGAGCGCCGGAGAGAGAGCGCCAGGAGAGAGAGAGCTCCAGGAGAGAGAGAGAGCGCCAGGAGAGAGAGAGCGCCAGGAGAGAGCGAAACGACGCAGTAGCGTTCAAATAGACACGAAGAGCGCGCACCACATCTAGACAATGGAGCGCCCGCTCCTTCCTGTGGACCGGCTTCGGACACAAGGAAGGGAGGACAATGTCCTCATTCAAATGGAAAGCCAACAACGCCTGAGGCAGGAAGGCCGGGCGAGGCCGGAGAACCGCCTTGTCCCTATGGAGAACCAGAAACGGCGACCTGCAAGGCAGCCAACTCAGACACCCTCCCAACGGAGGTAATGGCCACCAAAAAGGCCACCTTTTGGGACAAGGACAGAAGCGGAAGCTCGTGAAGAGGCTCAAAGGGAGAGTCCTGAGGCACCGAAAGCACCAGGTTGAGATCCCACGGAGCCAAAGGCGAATGGACAGGGGGCGCAATACGCATAACCCCCTGAACAAAAGTGCGGACCAGAGCATTAGACGCCAAGGGCGGCTGGAACATCACCGTCAGGGCAGAAATCTGACCCTTCATCGTGCTCAAGGCCAACCCTTGAGCTACCCCACGCTGCAAAAAGGCAAGAATTTTGCTGACGGAGAACAAGCGAGGCGACCAAGCTCCAGCCACGCATCAGGCATCGTGGAGATAACCGCAGCAGACAACCCCCGATCCCTCAGGACCTGGCTCAACAGCCATGCCGCCAAAGCCAGCGACTGTAAAGGATTGAACACAGGACCTTGGGACAGAAGGTCCGGACGCAGAGGCAGACGCCAAGGAGCGTCCACCAACATTTGAACCACGTCCGCGTGCCACACCCTTCATGGCCAATCCGGATCCACGAGGATCACGGGGACGTCTTCGGCCGCGATTTGTCGCAGCAGTCGAGGCAGCAGGTAAAGCAGAGGAAAGGCATAAATCAGACCGTAAGGGTCCCAAGGAGCCACCAAGGCATGTACCGCCTCTGCCCAGGGATCCAGAGCCCTGGCCACAAAGACTCGAGACGCCAGAAGATCCACATCCGGCATCCCCCAGCGTAGACAAAGCTGCTGAAAAACCTCCGGCTACAGGGACCACTCTGCCGGGTCCATCGACAGCCGACTGAGGTAGTCCGCCTGCCAATTGTCCACCCCCGGAATGTAAACTGCCGAAAGGGCAAGAACCTGACTCTCTGCCCAGGAGAGAATTCCGGACACCTCTTGACCTGCGGCCACGCTTTGAGCCTCCATGGTGGTTGATGTATGCCACCGCATTGTCGGACTGAACCTGAAGCGACAAACCCTGAAGACGGTCCGACCAGTGAAGGAGGGAGAGGCGGATCGCCCGAAGGTCCAACACATTTATCGGCAGACGGGACTCGTCCGGCGACCACCGACCCTGCACCGTCA